TACCTGCCTGGCATGTGTAAAGCTCTAGGTTCCATCCCCAACATTACAAAAAAAAAAAAAAAAAACCAATGAGATTCCCAAATAAAGACACGAGCACCCACTACTGTACTATTACGTGTCCCTCAGTCCATTTAACGCCCACCATAACCACAGAACGTGGGCCAGACAAGAACAGTAGAAGCGTGTAATTCCCAGAATCTGTTTACCCTACATCTGCCCACTTTTCTCCACAATCCACAAAAGCAGAAAAGGAAGACATTCCCACTTCTAAGTCATCTAAGTCATCCTCTTCCCTCCTGGGAGGCACAAAGCTCTTTAACTACAGAGGAACAGTTAAGAGTTTGTCCACAGACGGTATTGATAGGGAAGCTGAAGGCAACTTGGTCCTTTCTAAACCCAAAATACTGTCCTTTGACTGCATAAATAATTACCACCTCTGTGTGCTTTGTGTGTTAGCATAGAGAGGTTTAGACTTCAGGCAGTGTCTTGGTAAGAAGACCTAGAAAAACAAGACGATTACTGTGTGGCTATCTGGAGATTTATATCTAAAATTTCATTTATGTGTATCTATGTATATGTATGCCATGTGTGAACAGATACCTGCAGAGAGTAGAAGAGGGAATCAGAACCCCTGCAGCTGGAATTACAAGTGGTTGTGAGCCGCTTGACACAGATGCTGGGGATCAAACCAGGGTCCTCTGGAAGAGCAGGAAGTGCTATTACTTAGCCTCTGAGCCAGTTCTCCAGACCCTAAAGTGAAATTTCACACTCTGCATTTAACCAAATCAAGCTGAAAGTAAACACACCTCATTTTACAATCAGTCCTTTGTATCAGCAGCAAACTAAAAATGTGTACAACAGCAGAGAAAAACTATGAATGATTCCAATTCACAATTGCAATGACTCACAATTTCATCTTTTCTTTTCCAGTTGCTAGGCAATCACTCTACCTCAGAGCTTCTCTTGTCTTTTCCACTCACTACAAGAAAAACCAGAAGCCATTCCTTAAGGAGAAGAACAACCAAAGTCAGGAAGCAGATTCAAGTTTCTTGATTAAAAACAAAAAAAGTCTGACACACTAGTACACACCCTATTATCCCAGCACTTGGGAGTCAGAAACAAGGTCAGGAGTCCAAGGTCATCCTCAGCTGTGTAGCTAGCAAGCCATTGTGAACTGTAAGAAATCCTGTCTAAAAGTAAACAAATGAACAAATAAATACACAAATATGTACTAATCAAAGCACTAATCAAATACAAAGGAAAGCAAATAGAACCTTTTCAAAATCATTTCTGGACACTAATAATTATAATATCTGTTCCTTTTTTCTATTTTTATCCCCTCCCCCTAAATGTTATAAAGTCCATGTTTTACAATCTAATTGTGAAATAATTCAAATAAAAAACACAAAGGGTTACCAGACATGGTAGTACACCTTTAATCCCAGCACTTGGGAGGCAGAGGCAGGTGGATCACTGTGAGTTCAAGACCAGCCTGGTCTACAGAGCCAGTACCAGAATAGGCTCCAAAGCTACACAGAGAAACCGTCTCAAAAACACAAAAACAAAAAAAAAAAAAAAAGGATTTTGCAAAATAATTCTGCCAGACACTTATGTTACAAAATAAGAGTTTATGTGTGCTCTGCATTAGGGCTACAGAAACAAAGCAATGCAACAGCTTCTTCTCAAGAGTTTTACAAGTGACAATGAGTGAATAAATAATGACTTCACCTACAAAGAAAGGAACACAGAAACCTATCCTGCAGCCATGACATCCAGCAGTGATGGCAAACCTCATTAAGAATGTACCAGCACTTCCTTAACCAGATTTTCAGGCTGCAGTGATTCTCAATTAGGTAACCACAGATAGGAGTGTGTTCCTAGAAGAGCCTGTTATAACGCCAGTGAATTACGGTATACCAAAGTAAGCACAAATCTACTGGTTTATATAAAGAATTAGTAAGCAGGTATCTATTAACCAGAACAAAAGAAGGGTACATCTGTTTGGGCTCACAGCATTTGTTAACAACACTGAGTATAGGCTGCCTCCTATCTTTGAATCAAGAAGACCAATACTTTCTCAACTTTTCTGTCAGTTAAGGTACAAGCAGCGGCCTAGGCAGTAGGCTTTCTTTGGGTCCACCAACCAGCTCCCAAATCATGATAAGGACATTTATTATTAGTTATGAATGTTCAGCATTATCTTATGCTTATTCCACTAGCTCTTATAACTTATTTTATAACCTGTTTCTCTTCATCTGCATTTTACCTCCAGGCTTTTTACCTTTCTTTCACTCTGTAAGTCCTACTCTGTATCTGGTTGGCTGGCAGGTGACTGGGGCATCTCCCTCTCCTCCCTCATTCTCTTTGTCTCCTCTTTTCTCTTCTCCTTCTTATTCTCTCTGCCTGCCAGTCCCACCTAGCTATCGGCCATTCACGTGTTTTTTTTGTTTTTTGGGGGTTTTTTTGGTTTTTCAAGATAGGGTTTCTCTGTGTAACAGCTCTACATCTCTGGCTGTCCTGGAACTCACTCTGTAGACCAGGCTGGCCTGGAACTCACAGAGATCCACCTGCCTCTGCCTCAAGAGTGCTGGGATTAAAGGTGTGAGTCACCACCGCCCACGCCATTAGGCTTTTTATTAGACCAATCAGTGCCTTAGACAGACAAAGCAACACATCTTTACGAAGCATAAACAAATGTAACAAACACATCTTGCCTAATTAAAGCAATATTCTGTAACAGACCTGAGCTCAGCTAGGCCAACAAAGAGAACAAATCTCCAACAATAATTAGTTTCCCAAAGAGAAGCAACAGGGCCCCTAGTCCACAGTGCTAGTGAAATGTGCTGCACAATCCATTTACTATGGTACAACAGAAGAAACACCGCCCAGACTCTAGCCCAATCACTGCTGTGCAGTTCTGACTTGGTTCCTGCCAATCCCCAGGTCCAGGTTTCACACAGCCTTAAAGCAATGCTGAGAACCACACACACACACACACACACACAGCATTTCAAGAAATTCCTTTTGTCATTGAATCTCCATGGCTCTCCAAAGAAAAATGATAAAAGTAATGATGTAGTATGATCAATCAAGAGGCACTGCTACCCATAAAAGGCTCATACACTTTATTCCAGAAAAATAGAGAACTCCTTGTAGCTTGTGATTCAAAATCAGCTCTGAAATGCGTGTACAAAAATGTCATATTGAAATCCAATATTTCGTACAATAAAAAAAACAATAAACTTACATTTTTTTAAAGAACATCTCTTGGACTGGAGAGATCCCAGAGGCTAAGAGCACTGGCTGCTCTTCCAGAGGACCCTGGTTCAATTCCCAGCATCCACTGTCTATAACACCCGCATGACAGCTCACAACTGTGTGTAACCCCAGTTTCAGGAGACATGACACCCTCACACAGATACACATACAGGCAAAACAGTAATGCACACAAAATAAAATTAAATAAATCATTTTTAAAAATTGGGGGGGGGGGTCGAGACAGGGTTTCTCTGTGGCTTTGGAGGTTGTCCTGGAACTAGCTCTTGTAGACTAGGCTGGTCTCGAAGTCACAGAGATCCACCTGCCTCTGCCTCCCGAGTGCTGGGATTAAAGGTGTGAGCCACCACCAGGCTCCATTAGAAATTTTTAAAAGATTATTTCTAATAATTCCATTACTAATTTGTCACTGTTTATGATCAAATTGTTCTGTTCCCCCCAATGAAAACCACAGCAGTCAGACAATGTCTACAAGGAGGCTACATTGTCTTTACCACTTGATATTACAAGACTCAAGCAGTAAGCCCTCTGCTATGGGGTACAGTAAGTACACCCACACTCTGAATACACTCCAAAGTGTGTAGCAGAATGAAGAGTCTTGCTTTCTCTAATTAGTAAGAAGAGATGGGTTACGTTTGAGTTTTGAAAGGAATGAATTGCTTTAACTACACGAACTTCAAGTTGCTCTCTCCTCAACAAATCGTGTGTGTGTGTGTGTGTGTGTGTGTGTGTGTGTGTGTGTGTGTGTATGTGTGTGTGTGTGTGATTGCCATCATTACTCCACAAAATAGCAAATAAGATTATTATCTGTATTAATGCAAAACAAAGTCCTCAACCATAAACTAACCAAGAATATTGTGGAGGCCAGGCGGTGATGGCCATCGCCTTTGGAAGGTAGAAGAGGTAGAGACAGGTGGATCTCTGTGAGTTCGAGGACAAGCCAGATCTACACGGAGATTGTGGAAGGAATGATGAACCCTCACTATGTCCCCACCTCTACCCACCCCAACCACAGACTGATACAAAATCAACCTACCTATATCCGAGTCCTTACCCCAGTGCATGATGGGACCCGGGCCGGCTAGTGCTGACGGAATACAAACCCTATGAATACACATGTATGTTATACAATTCCATAAATAGTAAATCACCTCACACTGACACTGTGCTTCCAGACTTCCAAAACACTGTCACGTCAACTGTTGCACCAATAGGCAGGTGATGAATTGCATCTGTCTGCGCAGCCACTGCATGGCGAGGCACACCGTGAAGCCTCCGAAACTTACGCAGCTGAGAGTGTACTGTTTGCACCTCTATTCTGCTCTTTTGTTACACTGTAATTCTCATTTGATTGGCTCTTTAAGGATGTCTCGCTCATCGTCCTATGCCTAAGGCACACAAAACCCAGACCATCAAAGTGCACCGTAAACAGCAGGCTTCTCCCTCCTCCCGCAAGGTGGGGCCTCAGTTCTGAGCCTGACGTGCACACCCCTGCTCCTCCCCACGCCCACCCACCCCTGACACTTGTGGTTTCCACAACTGGGGAAGCTCGATGCACAAGGTATGGATGTTTTGCTCCCCGCAAAATCACCTACTGCCCTACGCTTCTCCTTCATCTGCGCCACTGGCGCCCCCAAATCCCGCTTCAGCCTGGGGTGCTGCAGGCACCCCACGAGCAGACCCCGAGAGGTCCACAGTCACCCCGGGCTCGGGTCCGTACGTACCCCAGGAGGCAGCGATCGCACACCACGCCGCGACTCCCCTTGCACACAGTGTACGCCAAGGGATCGCAGCGGAAGAGCAGCTCCCCAGGGCGCAGCGGGACCACGGCACGCAGCCCATTTCCACGGTCGGCGGTCGCGAACTTTTCCACCTTCAGCGGCTCCATCCTTCCACAGACCCGTACCTCAGTACCTCAGACCCGCAAAGCGTCCCTCAGCTTGAGTCTCGTGTTTTCTGACTGCGCGCCTGCGTCCTGCGCTTGCGTACTCTAGGGGGCGGGGACCAACGCGCAGGTCGTGGGAGCATGCGCAGGAGGGCCTACTACAACCCGGGCTGGCGTGGTGCCTTCCGTATTATACCGGGAGATTTCTTTTTTCCTTTCTTTTCTCTTCCTTTCTTTTCTTTTCTTTTCTTTTCTTTTCATTTCTCTTCTTTTCTCTCTCTCTTTTTTTTTTACCAGACAGAGTCTCAATGTGTGTACCATATGCTGTTCCTGAACTCCCAGTATTGACCAGGGAACCTCGAACTCACAGGGATCTGCCTGCCTCAGCCTCCTCAGTTCTGGAATCCAAGGCACCCTCCACCTCGCCCTGCGTACTATGCTAATTTTAATGCATAGGGAAAAGTTGATAGGACTGGGGACCTCCCCTGCCTTTTCACCACCTAGATAAACAATTCTTGGCTGTTTCGATCCCGCCATCCACATGTGTATGTATGTGCCCATATTACAGATAAACCTTTTCAGAGTAATGTTTGTTGAACCCTTTGAAAGTATGTTGCAGTCAGGTCTTGAACTCAGAAATCCTTTATTCTCCACCTCTTGAATACCGGGGTTATAGGTGTAAAACCTCCCAGCAATAGTGCAAGCTAAGGCCTGCCTAGAAGTGTCAGCATGTTAGGATTTCATCCTGCGTGTTCACGAGCCACGTTTTCTCTCTCAATACTTCTCTCGACAGACATTGGATTTGTTTCTACTTTTTGCTACTGTGAATGATGCTGTTGTACTGTGAGCACTGTGTAAAAATGCCCCCTAAGTCCTTGCTTTTTTGTTTTGTTTTGTTTTGTTTTGTTTATTTTTCGAGACAGGGTTTCTCTGTGTGGCTTTGGAGCCTATCCTGGCACTCCCTCTGGAGACCAGGCTGGCCTCGAACTCACAGAGAT